GTGGACCCTCCGCAGTGGCGGGCCCCCCCCGAGCCTCACCCTTGCGGTAGTTGTGGCGGTAGATGTGGAAAGCGTACAGCAGCTCGTAGTAATTGTGGGTCATCAGGTCCACGGCCCGAGCGTGCGATTCGATGATCCCCACGACCTGCAAGCGCACAGAGGCTCCGATGGGTCGGCGATCCCTTCCAAGGCAGCGGTGGTGCCCCGCTTCCCCCCGGCGCGGGCGGACCACCTCGTGACGGAGGGTTACCTCATTGTGGAGGTTCACGTAGGGGAACTCCACCAGGTCCTGGAGCTGGGAGCGCTCGCAGAGCACCACCACTAGCTGGCGCAGACAGTCCAGCTGCCTGTGGGGGGCGCCCGCGGGGCCCCCCCACTAGCTGGCGCAGACAGTCCAGCTGCCTGCGGAGAGAGAAGCGCGACCGGAGCAGCGCGAACGAACCCACCTCCTCACCCACCTCCTCGGCGCAGGCTTTAAGCCACGAACGCGCCGCTTTGCAACGAGCTCCGTAGGTTTTTTTTCTGGCTGAGAACCAAGAAGTCCCTTCAGAATTCTCCTGTGCTAGAAACAGAGAGCCTGGACAGCAGAGAGACCTTTGCAAAGGTCTCTCAGGAGCGCAGTGTCCCTCCCTCAGCTCTGTTTGGTGAGGTTTTATTCAGCATCAATTAAAATGCACTCTTGCTTCTCCTCTGAACGTCTGTTCCAGCCACTCCTGCTCATCCCATCCTCCTCTGCTACGGTGAAGCTTCCTCCTCCCAGCTCACCTCCCAGATGGTGCTCCAGCTGAAAATTCAACTCCAAGTCTTTTCTTTATTAAACTACACTGACCGGACTCCCAAAGCTTTCCAACACACAATGCCACACGTGGTCCTTCAGCCTTTCTTTTGACCCTTCCCTGAACCAGCTTTTTTGTTTTTTACCCCCCCGTTTCCTTCTCTGAGACTGTGCCGATCCCAGCTGCTCTTACCAAAATGAAGGATGCCTTTTTAAACAAACCTTCACAGATGCTAACACAGAACCCCCTAACACGCCAGCCACGTCCTGCCCTGAATCGTCACCTCTTCCTTTCAGTTTGATGGAAAAATTGGTACACGGACCTCCGAGACCCGCGAGCAAACGAGGCACAAAACGGTCGCCCACCTGCTGGGATCTGGGTTCTGCGTTAAGGCTACGTATGCTTCGCTGTTGTGTCCCAAATCCAAGTGATGTTTGAAGATGCAAGTCCTCAACGTAGCCTGAAAACACCAAAGAGCACGTTTCAAGTTACACAACGGAAACGCAAGCCCCCTGTAAGCTCCCTGCAGAGACATCTTGATGCAAAAGGAGTGACCTGTACCTGGCTTCTCCAGTCGTCCGCCGACTCCATGATAGCCAGGGTGGCCAGCTGGATGACCAGCTCCGGCAAACCAACCATGTCCAGCAAGCGCAGAACCTGCAGAAGGCAACACTCTAGCGCTGGCTGCAGCAGCGCTGAGGAATGGGTCGGGTCGGCGAGGGGTTCTTTTGTTTGTTTTTAAGAGCTACTCCTGCCTCTACCAACCACAAGAGCAGCCAAAAGATTTTGCTGATGTTTTTAAGCTGTTACGACTGGAAAATGAAAGATTTTTGTATGCTGCAAACATCTGAATCGAACCCCAGCACGATGGGTTCAGGCTACGGCTTTTCTGGAGGACTCAGCTCTGCACACGTGTGTTCTCTGAAACATTGGAGCGTTGACGGCTGCAGTAAACCCCTGCGACAAACGATTCCGCTCCGAAGCGGGCACGCAGCTGTAGAGAGACGCTCTCTCTCCGAGGGCACCCGACAATCCTTGCGTTTTCTGGATTTTAAAATCAGGGAATCCCTTACAATGAGCCTAGGTCCAAGCTTGCAGCCTGTCTGAACTACGGTATTATGCAAGAAGAAAGATCCTATCTCAATATAAAGACACTAATTTTAATTTGCCTCAAAGCTTAATAACCTTCCCCTTAAGCAGCATCTTGCATCCAGCCTGGACACGTCTGGCTTCTGCCTCCAGCAGCTGGATCTCGCCTTGCCTTTTTCTCCTGGTTAACAAAGTCCTCCGCTATTAGGAAGCTAATAGGTGGAAAGCACCTAGCTTTCACGCCGCAGTCACCTTGTCATCGCCCAAAGCAAGTAAACAGACTACACCGAGGCTTCACCTCCCAACAAAGTACGTTTTCTGAGCTTCAAGTCACTTCTCTGAAAGCTGGGGGCTGAGCAGGGGTTTTCTCTCCAAGCAGTGCCTGTGTGGAACGACTCGGTGCCGAGTTACTCGGCTGGGACCGCGTACGCCGCGCCGGCTCCGCTGTACCTTGCTGTAGTACTGCAGGCGTGGAGTGGAGACCACCTCACCCTCCTCAGGCTGGACCAGCCTGTCCAAGAACTCTTCTCTTCCCACCTCCGACGCAGCTTGGCAGAAACAGTCCAAAGCCTAGAAGCAGACCAGAGAGCAGCTTGTGTGTGCCCTCCCGGTCTGCTGTACCAGCGAGAGGACAGCGCTCCCCGTTCCAGCTCCAGCGTCCGAGACCTGCTGGCCCCAGGCTAACGAGAACTTCCCCAGGAGCAGATCCCACCATCCCCCTCCAATCCCATCCTTTGCCCAAAGGATGCAGACCTCGAGAAGGAACTTTCCCGACTTGCAGAGGAGAAATGAAGCCGTCCCTGTTTTTGCACCTCCTCCCTGCCAGGGGAAAAGGCCCCAGACCCCAGGGGGAGGCAGCATCGGAAGGAGACGAGGGCCTTACCTTGTGCCCCTCACCCATGACAAGGTAGCACCTGCCCATCATGAAGCAGCAGGAGCCCATGTTCACGTGGCACCACGGCTGCAGCAGGCGAATGTATTCCTACAGGAGAGGAGGAACGGGAGTTTCGCTTCAGGTCAGCACCCACTCATGACCTGCAGGCACCCCGTCCAAGAGGAAGGGTTAGGTCTCTGACACCAAAGCGCTATTTTGGTGGCCCTTTTAGCTGCTGTGCTCACGCAGATCCTGCTCAAGGGCTGGCTTCCCCAGCCCCAAAGCCCCCCTCGGTGCACAGATGGGGAGTCATCCCCCACGTGCTCCTGGGAAACAACCTGCTCCGAGTAGCTCCAGCGTCTGCATGGAGCGCTTCAGAAAC